AACGATTCAGCTTAATTTATTCTTGGAATACATGTATAAATTCTTTTCAAAAATGCATTGAACAAAAAGATATAGGCACATGAAATACGAAAAGGTCCCTAGGGACCTTCTCACAAATCGAAGGGTTAAATTCTAGGGTAATAATGTGCAATTTTCAAGTTGCTAAAGAATGGCGTTGATTTTTAATAATTTTTTTTTCCATACATAACAAAATGTCGAATATATTTTGTATGGAAAGAAATTTGTAATGCAGCCAGAAAAAAAAATTATGAATACCAGGCAAAGCCAAGATTTATCTATATATTTCATGATCCAATGATCGGATCTAAACCAAATTAGTATGGGACCACCTCTGAGACACTACCTTTCCGTTGCAAAAAGAATTGGTTGACGTGGTGCAAAGTTATGCGGTAACATACATAAAAAAAAAAAAAAAAAATATTCCGACGAACTGATAACCTCCTCCTTATTTGGAAGTCGGTTAAAAAGGAATATAAGACATCCAATTGTTTTATTTACCCTCGGCCTAGAGCTCAAAAAGCAATCAAAAAATTATTATAAACCTTCTTCTTTTTGTGAAGTCGTTTAAAACGCGATTCTTTTTACAACCAGGGTTAGAAAAAAGTCCCGACGTGGGGAATCTAAACGGACTTCAAATTCGCGTTAAGCGACCGCAAAAGCATAAAAGACCCAGTCTGCCAAAACCTTTCATGGATTTTTTTTTTTGGTACTGTGTAATCCGCGGTCTGATTACTAAGAACCCTTTAAACCTTTTTTTAGAGTATTAAAAAATCTCAGGGTTTCAGGCTCAGTAGCAAAATGCAGTTGGTCTTTCAATTTTTTGTTAGACTCACAAAGCCGGAGTTAAGCAACCATAGTTGTAAGTTATACGAATTAGAGAGTAGAGTTAAAACATAAGTATGATGAGAATTGCAGAAGGGACATAACTCAATCAAAGGTTATTTGCCAAGCATAGACATTAGACCGTATCGAAAAAAAGTCCGTCATACACCCCTATCATATGAAGTCTTTTTGAAAAGCATTTAAAAAAAAATTGTTTGGACTACCCTGGTAATCGCCCACTTACATCTTTCCTCATATCTTCGGCATTTATACTAATCGAAATACTTCTTTCACAAAAGATTAAGGATTTTTGACGGTCTTTAATTTACTGTCATTAGGTCGGTACGTTAGGGTGGTAGCAACTGAGATCTGGTGGGTAAGTACCACAATGGGGAACATGAAGTCAATGAGGTCCGTAGGAAAAACCCCCTCCTCGAGACAAAAATATTGGTGTATCACACTTTACAATCCGACTATTAATGCCAAAGATATGAAGAACTAGGGTTGTCCAAACATTTTTTAAAATGCTTTTCAAAACTACTTCATATGAGGGGGTATACGGCGAACTTTTTTTTTGCCTGTAAGACGAGACGCTCTAATAGACATGTAAGACTATGCCCTTTCGGCGGTAAATGTTTATTTTAAATAAAGATTTTTTGTTCAAAAACGTATTGATAGGTATAAGAAATAATCGTCTCAGAGCCTCGGAAAACTGTTTAGTTTTTACAGAACGATTGAAGCCAATTTTAATGGGCGTGATGGTTCGGGCATGTTCAATGAAAAGACTATGGATCGCCTTTATACCCCAACTGGTATGAAAAGTACCAACTGACGCTAATTGGAAATGCCTGGGCATGAATCACGTATGACGACAATCGTCTGAACGATATCGTGTCGAGATAGTGTTGCTTCATGAAAACCAAAAATTGTTTGATCGTTTGTGCCATATCGTCAACTCGATTCTAGTTTTGCTTCACGTAACAGTAATAGTAACACGTAACAGCAACACAAATGCATAAATCAGTGTTTTTACGAGGTCGTTTTGTCAGTATCGTTCGAACGACTATCGTTTCAAAGTTACGTGATTCATGCCCAGGAGAAGCCACCTGGTCTTTCCAATGCAAAGCAGGACTTTGTGTTTCTCTGCTAGCCCCAGTACGTGCAGCGTTAAGAGTTTGTGTTCATTCGTAGAATTCTCCGCTGGATTTCAAGCATAACATTATTTAGTATCGGTGCTTATGCTGGGTTCTAATAAATATAAGAAATCCTTTACTTTTTGAAACTGCTCTCCACTGGTCTCTTACGCGATTAGTCAGACGAATTTTTTCAGTGTACTGTACGCACATACATATGTTTACATATTCCACAACTTCTCTAAAAAAGCTTGCTAGCCCAAGATTAAGTGGTAAATATTGATGAAATTTTATTCCAGAAATTGCAGCAAAAAGGAGAAGTAATGTTATTGTCATTGAATAAATGATGCAATATGTGAAATCAGATTTTATATAAAAAGATACACTAGAAAAACATTTTATCGGTGTATTGAAAATAATAATAATAATTAGTCTAAGTGCATCAATCAAGTTGGGAAAATGCCACTTTAGATAGCCGATACTTTGATGACTATGAACTTATCATTCTTATCAGTAAAGTATTGACATTTTTTAGTGCCAACTTTTATCAAAAAACTAGTGCCTTATCTACGCGATTCACATCAAATATGATGACTGTCCAAATACTTTAAACACGAGTGTATGCACCTCTCAAAATATCACGCGTTAAAAGTCACTAGGATTAGGTTATATAATCTGTGTGCAATGACTGGGTTTTATTATTATAACATATTTCATTAGTTTTGTAAATATTATGTAAGTTAAGTTTAAGTTATTTTGTGGATACAAAACCCTGTAGGGAACAGAACTCTGCCTGATTTTAATTTACCAGATCTGCAGGCATTAGACATGAGCTATAGTATGCCCTCCCACAGTTGCTTTTCCGCCAGGTGGATACTATCCCAGAAACAGGGAAGATACATCTGTACACCTTCCGGCGAATGACTTAGCACTACAAGCGCTCTACTCTGTATTGCGATTCGAAACTTAATGCGATTCGAAATTCGGCACGGACTAATACAAATTAAAAGTGCCGAGTATTCGAATCCAAATTATCTGCTTTTCTAATCGCAATACAGACTAGACCCCCAAGTCTAAGAAAATCAGCCTTCAAGATGTGATAATGAGTAGTTGAATTTCTAGCTCTGAAATATATAACCGGAATGCATACATGCCTGAGCCTTAAATTATTCTGGCTGGTTGATTCACTTCTGAAGTGGAAGTGGATAGAGAAAAAAAGAGCTCAATGATGCCAAAGCAAAAAAAAAACTTTATAATTAACTTTTAGGGGTCCCATCTTATTCCCGGAGAGTTATATTCTTCCCGCCCAAATGCCATCTGCCCGTCTAGCTATAGCTTTATGCCAGCAACTCCGACCGTGGAGAATGCAGTCGCACTTTCGGAAATATTAGCAAGCAGAAATTAGTCCAGAATCAGGAAAGATCGTCTCTAAGCCGCACCCTTCACGATTACATATTTTCTTTGAAGAAAATATATGATAGGGGGTCACCGTACCAATTAAAAGGAAGAGAAGAAGCAGTGCGCTGTCAATCCAAACCGAGATTCTCGGATGGAAGCCATGGCTAAGCTGATATCAACATCTCAAGGGGGATTCGTTCTACTGGAACAGAAGATCAAGTCTGTGCATACACACCTATGTTTATATATATTTCAGAAAAAGAAAAGAACTTAATATTTACATTTAAGTCTGTTAATCGTTTTCAAATATATTATAGACGCATCGTCATGCGCATTTTGCTGATAATTCTCCACATTACTTGCGTTTGATAACCTCCCGGATGTTTTCGGTGCAAACACATCCACAATTAGTATTTGATTATACCTAATTGGATGCGAGGTGTATGAGCTCTCTTTGGGCGGTGACGTCATTGACTTTAACTGAGTTTTGTATCTGTACAGAGGCACTGAGTGCTTATCAGCCCGAAATACATGTTTTTTTTACATCCAGCATAATTATTTTTTTGTATTCGTTTAAGTTGAACTTAGCAAGCAATATAAAATTCTATAGTACCCGTAGAAAGCTTCGACCTCATCTAGCATAATATCTAACTGCAGTTTTTCTTTTTATTTCATTTATTTTTCAGGGTTCCACATGCGCCTTAACCGAATCTATTCTTCGTGCGCATGGCGTTCGCACGGGTTTCTTCAGTTCACCACACCTACTCTCAGTAACTGAGCGACTACGCCTTAACGGGCAACCTATATCGAAACAGAAGTTTGTACGTACCTTTCGGAAAGTCTATAATCGCCTGCGTAGCCAACAACAATATGAGGGTGATATGCCGGCTTATTTCAAGTTCCTGACCATACTTAGTTTTCATCTTTTCCTCGAGGAGAAAGTCCAAGTTATCATTATGGAGGTGGGCATTGGCGGCGAGTTGGATTGCACGAATGTAATAAGGTATGTAACTGGAAAGAAAACAGATACGTCGAAGCCTCATATTAATAAGGGAGTTTGAAAAGGAAACGTAAGTACTCATAAAAGTATACAGCCTTAAGAGTACGTTAAAGGTCTGGTGCGTTAGGATGTTATTTAACTTACAGCCTTACCCTGACCCGACTAAGTTTTTAAGCATTCCTCTGCAGACGAATCGTTCGTGTTGCCTATCGTTCGTGATACAGCATAAGGCTGTCAATCCACGGGTGCTTAAATCTTCTCGGAGCTGGTCTATACTTGCTCTACTTATTTCAGTAGCATTCTACGTCAACACTTTTAAAGGGCGAGTGGCAGCTGCAAATGTTTTTTTCTGAGATCTCTCCACCAAATAAAGATGTATATTTATACTCTATAAAAGTGCCGGTAATAAGCGAATCTGTAGCGAAATTTTTACTTTTCTCATAAAGGGCTTCAGGTTTATACCGGGACCTTTGCAATAGCTGACTTCATTTTCGATAACTTCAGAATACTTTCTTATGACCGGCGAACGGGCGGTGTATCTAAGCACCGGGTACCAAAGCAGTTCCTCCATTTGTTTAACGAAAGACTAGGGTCGTTATTAAAAAAAAAACTAATCAACGTTCTAATCAAGGCAGATCTATGTTTTAGCGGCTCTTTACGCGCTGGCAATATTATTATGTTCAACTCATGAAGATTTGTGTTTTTTAGCAAAGTTTAGTGTAGCAAACAACTCCAAGAAACCTCGTTTACTTTCAAACACATGTGCGTTCCTATTCTAACGTGTATTTTACGCATTTATTTTCAAGAAATACCCAAACGGTCGGCATTACCTCACTTGGCCTCGAGCATACGCACCTGCTGGGCGATACACTGAGCGAAATTGCTTGGCAAAAGGCTGGTATTATCAAGGAAAACGCTGATGTCTACACATCTGTAACGCAAGAGGAGTGCCTCGATGTGATCAAAGCGCGTGCGAAGGAGCGTAATGTAAGCGAGAATAGTATTTTAATTCTCGCGATCATTTTTTTAAGCGGATACTTTTCTATATTCTTTCCCTAGGCCAACTTACACATAGTGCCCGAGTATGAGGAGTATTTCCGTAAACCAGAAATTGAAGCACTACTATCCAACCTCAATGAGGTAATACGACTGAATGGCTCGCTGGCCATACAACTCGCCTACGATTGGCTACGCAAGAATGGGTATTCACGCTACAAACAAGTCGAGTCCACAGAGCTAACCAGCGAAGTTGAACGTGGCTTGCAGCAGTGCAATTGGCCAGGTCGTTGTGAGATTTTGAACATTGAGAATTTAAAGTAGGTTGAAAAATTCCGATTCGGCAATAACGTCATACTTAGTACTATTTTTTCTCAACCCCAAAGGTTTCACATCGATGGGGCGCACACTGTGGAGAGTATACGCGTCTGTTGCGATTGGTACAAGCGTGTAACTGAGAAGAGGTAAGCTATGATGAAATTACTTGATCCACCCAAATACTTACTAACTCTCTAATTTTTCTGTTTTCTATACATCCTGCAGTACCAACCCACGCGTGCTCATTTTCAATACCACCGGCGAACGTGATTCGAGACGTCTGCTCGAGGTTCTTCACGCCAGTAATGAATTCGCGATCGTTTGTTTTGTGCCGAATATTTCTTCGGGCGCCTCTAATCACAATGACAATACTTCCGTTTACGGAATCACTGAACAGCTAAAGCGCGCACGTCTTCACTCGAGTATTTGGTATCAATTGTGCATGGAATCGGAGGAAACGGATACGTCCAAGACTTTTGGTTCGATTGTAGATTGTTTGCTGCATTTGCGTCAAGTTTATTGCGCTAAACAAGAGGTGGATGTGCTGGTTACCGGCTCATTGCATCTGATTGGCGCTACAATGGCGGCATTTAAAGATTTTCAGCAAAAATTGGAGGAACATGGGAATGGGATCTGAATAAGTAGTGTGTATGTATGTAAAGTATTTAGGGGCTATGTAGTTCTTTTAGATATAGAAACTTATTTAACTGTTTGCAAAATATAATCGCAATCCCGCTAAATAATAAAGAATATAACCATAGACAATTAAAGGAACCAATTTCATTAACTTAAGTTTACAGCTGGAAGGGCTTCATGGAAAGTTCTTTACGACCATTTGATGACTGAAACTTTGACAAAGTGTATGTCTTTCAGCTCAACGTAATATTACCGGCGAGAGTTTTTCTACGCACAAACGTAAGGTTTTCACATTTGATTAACCGAAATCAATTTGCGTGCGTGATTTCTCAGAGTTGCATTTCTGTCAGTTGTTGAGGAAAATTTGAATTCATAGTCGCGCCAAAATGTCAAATGAGCACAAACGTCAAATCGAAATGTCACGCAACACAAATCTTGGAATTTGAGTTAGCTTTTAACGCACGCCGTTCAATTTCGGTTGGTCCCATACAAGTTGTATGTGCATGAGAAATTTTTGACAGTAAACTGCCGGCGTGCGTGAATGTTAGGCTGGCTTGCTTCCCGTTTTGCTGATGCAATTAACAGACTTGACTTTTTTTCATGCACAAGGTCTATCTAGCCGACAAACCGACTGAGTGATATGTAAAATGGACCTCGAGGGTAGCCTGAAACCAGTCACAGTAGGGCTGGTAATCTATCGGTAGTTAACGATACTATTGCCTAAAACCATCGATAGTTTTTCGATAGTATCGGTTTAATACAACAGGGAAGCCCCACATCAAACGTTTGGGGTTTTTCAGACCTTCAGCACTTTATTCAGCTTATGAGGCCTGGAGCTCTGCTCTAATAACTACTTGAAATAGGCTCGGAAATTAATTGATCAATGGACTTAAATTAAATTACCAAAATTACATTAAAAAAAAATTTTTGAGGACACATTCTCGAACATGCTTTTTTCATTTCCCCATACACCATACAAGCATGACTTGTTTAAGCAGAGAATTCTACATTTTCCGCTCCATAATTTTTATCTGTTATGTCCTCACTCGGAATTTGCTATACAACACAAGCGGTTTGATTAAACTTCATATGGGTCAGATAATCAAAAATTGGATTTACCGCACAACAGGTTTCAGCTGAATTTCGATGTCTTTCACTCTTAAGAAGCCAAACAGTTGATTTGATAGATCGTTGCTTTATTCGATATCTGCCAAACAAACCGTGTTTGAATCTTCAAAAGAACCGAAAGTGCTATTTTTGTTGCGAATTGCCGTGTAATTGATTTCATTTTCAAGAAGAGTAACTGTTCTGGATTCGTAGGAAAACCACTTTCATATGCATAAAATCAATTAATTGCTAGACAAGGGAGAAAAAAGATGAAATAGTGGTTTCTGTCGATAGTTGGCGACCATCGATAGGACTATCGTCAGACGGAAACCAACGATAGTCGTGTCGATATTATCGATAGTTTGCCAGTCCTAAGTCACAGGCTGAGCTAATCTTCCCAAAGGAACGTCCATGAAGCTTCAGAATAGGTCCTTCAGTTACATTGATGCTTAAAGTCTCGAAGTGGTTTTAGTACTGGAACACCCCTTTCGCTTTCCGCAGTAATTTTCGACAGCTATGTATCTACATATGTATGTCAAATAAACTTTCAATATTTGAGATCCTCGGGAGCTCTTAAAAGCCATAGAAATCTGAACAACGCTGCTCATTGTTACTGCTTTTTGCTATGTACGCGAAGAAGAGTGATTACGAAATTTGTAGAGACTCGTTCGATCGGGTACGAGTTAGTCTTACTGCACTAACCGGATCTGAGTTCAGCCAGATCGCTTACATCGATGGGTGGCCTACAAGGGCAATGTTTTCGCGACGAGCGCTGCTGGCGGATATAGCTGAATCTTTGACTCCGTCAACTTCCACGTCCAGTTCGAGCCCCACTTTCTTAGTCCACGACATGAAGATTGTGGGCATCTTAATAAGTCTCCGTCTTCTTCTGTAACTAAGTCTGTGGAGAGGGTAGGTCTCTTCCTTCGGGGGATTCTCTACCGAGACAGAAACATGGCTTTAAGTAGCTTTAATAAGAAAGGTTGTGGTGTCTGGTATAGTCAAAAATAGAAACTTACACAGACGATTTTTTGGATCGTGATATCATCTATCTAAGCGCCACCTTCCTTTTTACCTTTTCTGTAAGGAGCTAGTGTGACCTGCCATAGCCATAAAGTCTTTCAATACGAATATTAGCTCTACTTCAAGTAGAATCTTTCTTAACTGAAAACACACAAAATGAACAACGAAAACCTTTCAAGTATTGCACTCAACACAAAACTGCTGCCTAATTAGGCAACAGCATGCATTAGCCTTTCGAAACCTGTGAAACTTCAGCCACCAAAACCAACCAAAGCCATACCGGAAACGCATGATGGCAAAGCAAATCTTGATGTGATTTGCCTAAAATGCCAACAAATTATGCTAAACGCACCCACACCACAACAGCGTAGCAAAGTGAACCGAATAGCGTGGGTTAAAGAAAAAAATTTAAAGCATTTACAAAAGCCACAGGGGGTTGCTAAACGTGCAACCAATCAGTGAAAAGCTTCTGTAATGTCGTCCAAAGGACTAACGCAGACGATGGGTGTGTGGGTGGTTGGACGATGGCTTGTGAATAAAAAAAATCTAAAGCCGCTAGCGTTAGAAGGAGAAAGCAATCAAGTAGCTCAGATTATATGCGAGCGCTGAAACCGCGCGAGTGCGACCAGATAAACAAGTACTTCGCGAGAACGGTATTTTTTCAAAAACAAAATGGCCAACATCCTTATATGCCTTGCGTTTAGTAGGTGGGTGGAGAAGAGCGTGCTCAGCTGTCTATGATGAAAGTGTGGGTGAGAGAAGTGGGTGGTTGTCAAGTTGCGCGTGTGGCAGGATGGCATCGAATGCTGAGTGCAGCAAAGAGAGAAAGATATGAGAGCGCGCATTTGTTTCGGTGTTTATGTGCGCGCGTGACATGTGCATTGATTAAATAACGGTTAAATGTGATGCTGCAGCATGGCAGGCAGGAGAGTAGCTTTACAGAACATGCGAAGGCTTTTTACTCATTTTTTGCAAATTCTTTTTTTTTTTGTATTTATTTACTTGGCTTGCTTTCACTCTCCTAACTGCCAACAATTTGCGTTAATTTATTTTGTCAGTTTCGCTGCGCTCATCATTTGACTGCCGTTATCCTGCGTGCATCTGACTATCATTTTCACTGTTAAACGGATTAAACGACATATTTCAGTTGTTCATTTGACTTCATTTGCGGCGGTAATGCGTTAAACGCAGAAAGTTGGACTTAGAAAAATTAAAAACAAAAACATTACAAACCCAAAAAAAAATACATAACACAATTAAAATCGCTGAGTTTGAAGCGGGAAAGAGACGATTTAAAATCGATCATTGCCACCAAGAAAAAGTTTATAAATTTGATAAAATTATAGAAAATAAAATCTAAACTACCAAACACTAAAACTGTAAAGTGCTAAACTAAGTGTTTAGTTAATTGAAAGTGAAGCAAAGGAATATTTTCAACGATTTCCTCTATGAAATATTTCAAAAAGAGATAAAGTTGATTGCAAGTATGCATTAAAAACTACTGTTAGTAAACAAAAATATCAAAAAATTGTATTTGTAAAAAAACGTAAATTTACAAAAGCAGTTTAAGTTTTGTGCATAACTTCAAAATGCATCACCAGAGCGCTAAATCGTTTTTAATACGAGATCTGCTGGGAGACTTGATAAATCGGCCGCCGCCGGATACCGGTAAGATAAGTGTTTGAATCTTGAAGTTTTTGTATGATTTTAGGTTAATAAGGGTTACATATATGAAACTAGTAAAGCCATATTTTGGCACTTAAAAATACTCGGGGTATTTCCTTTAACTGAAAAAAGTATCGAAAATCTCAAAAGCCTTGGAGATTTTCTAAGAAAAATATCTTCCGGGTTCGAGTTCTGCAGTAATTTGAGTACAATCGTATCACCTTAGTTTTTGTACCTTACATGAACAGTACCGGAAGAAGAAGGAATATATAGACCCATGGAAATGTATTCGTAAATGATCAGAACTTCGAGTTGAGCCGATTTAGCCATGTCTGTCTGTCTCTTTGTATGTTTGAACGCAATGTAGTCCCTCATTTTTCGAGATATCCGACTGAAATTTGCTGGGCCGGTGTATTTTTATAATGTATGTATTAAGTCATTTGCCGGAACCGTACCACGATAACATATATCTTCCATACAACTAATTGTTCAGGTATTAGATTTTTTGTTATAATTCTACTTCTAGCCGTGCAAATTATTCAGCTTCAATAAATTTCGATAAATGCAATTCCACGTTGCGATGTAAGTATTAAGGAAGAAAATGCTCATAAGTTACAGAAACTGTCAACTGTCATTTGCTTTCCAAACAATTTTCAGCTGCATTGAACCGAGAAGTGTTGGACTTGCCTTTCGGATTATCGTAGCAAAAAATCTACCCTACATTTTTTCCCTCCTCCGTGGAACTACCTTTAGGTAGTGCAACGAAACGTTCCTAGTACAGCATTTGTCATTCGACAAACAACGGCCCACTTTTCCACTGACTCAAGCATGATATCCACAAAGTTTTCAACCTTAAGTGGCCTCCCCACATTCATGCTGAAGCCGTCCCTTTTGGTAGCTAACTGCGGACAAACGAAAAAACAATGTTTAACGTTTTCGAGCACTTTTTTTTTTGTACAGAAAGTGCCATACAGACCGTGCTCGTAAGGAAGTCTAAGCCAGGATTCTGTAAAATAACCACATTCAGTTAGTATTAGGGTCAAGTGGAGTCCACTTCGCGATGGCGTCTACCGAGCCATTTTATTATGCTAGGTATGAGTCTCTAAGTCCAGCGTACATACGTAGGTCCTATCGGCTTGCAACTGCTACAAGCAATTTAACTTGGTCCTTTATTTCTCGTGCTTGTTTGCGGCTGCAATTATTTCTCTTGCCACTATATCAACAGGACGGGGACCGGTAACAGCTATCGCGTGAATTTATGACATTGTTCGAAAAGCTTAGCAAACTCTTATACATATGTAGCTCAAAGTCCCTATTGGGATATAGCTTCGCGGTGCAT